CAATGACTTACCCTTCAATGACCCTAAATGTAAATATCCCGGTTTATTGTCATTCCACTTTTAATAAATTTTACTCTTCTTTTCAATGTATTGACGCGCATTTTTTTCTCTTAAAATAATTATTTAAGTGCCAAATAATCTGTTTTACTCTATTATCATACACCAAAATACTTTTCCAGGAAGTTGTGACTGTTTTGAAATATATTTAACTAACAAAAATCAGATTTTTAAAATATCAAAATCATCAAAATTAATGATGTCTTATGAAGAGACATAATTACACTTGAATTAAAAAATCATTTTAAACAGTTCTCTCTTAACATATTTTTGTTGATGTTTTGAAATTTACCATGTTAAAATTTAAAATATTAGATTTGAATAAATAAATTTATTCGTTCATCTTTGGATTTTCTTTTCTGATTTAAAGTCTTATGAATGGTTCAGTTTATATTTTGAATCATTTAGCCATGGGCAAGCATCAGTCTCTAACTGGTGAATCCTTGTACCCAGGATTTGTACTCAACTATTTTCTTATCAACAAACCAATTTAGATATTTACATTGTAAATGTAATTTTAGTGAAATATGACTCTAATCACATACAGGTAAATTTGATTTATTTTCAATTAAATATTTAGATTGGTGTTGAACATCAACACATCAGTTTTCAAGCATCGTGGCTTTGATTTGGCATAAACAATATTTTATTTTCCCCTGATATCACAAATATTTATGTATTGAGTCTTGAAGATATTTATGATGAAATCTTAACTGATAACCAAGGTTAAAATGAATAAATATAACATTACAAGCCGCAACAACTGGAAAAAACCAAGTTTAACAGGTATATAAAGCCAGTCTAAAAATAATAATTCTATGCATATTCATCATTCCTGACTTTTTCTTAGTCAGAATTAGGTTATATGTTCATACGCTACTATAAGAAAAAAAGCGTAATGAGAATATCAGTTTTCATAATTTCTGTTCGGAAAAAAATTGACATGAAATATGCAAGATAAAGAATCAAACACCGGCTGTTGGTACAGACGGGAATATCTAACACTCGGGTAACTATTTAGCGGACACTCGACAGAGCCTCGTTACCGCTGTTAACATTTACCCTCGAGCTAGATATTCCGGTCTGTACCGTAAGCCGGTGTAAGATTCCTATAAGGCGCACGTTAATCACGCTCTAGATGTGTCAACCTCATTCAAGAACGTTCAAAAATTAGAACGTTCAGAGAGCGTTGACCAGAACGTCATGCTGTGACGGACCAACAAAAAGAAAGATTATCATGTTAAGTTTTTATGAAAAGTCGAGATGAATTCAAATAATCAGTGATAGACAACAGTATTGACAGAGGCAAGTGGTATGAGAGTGGTAAATGTTTTTTTAATACTATAAAACTATGTTGAATAAAATGTCTACTGTAAGAAAATGGTGAGTCTCGGATCAGGCATGCTTGGTTTAATAAAGTCAATGTTGTAAAACGTTTGCTCTGCAAATACTTCAATAATATCTGAAGAATTTTCAAAGTTCTTCATTGAAAACATAGACTTTTTAATTGTAGCAAATATGAACACTGAATGCATTGAAGGTATATCTGTATTAAATTCACTATTATGATATTATAATCCCTTAACACTTAATTGCATTTAAATTACATTTTAACAATTTGAGACACTATATTATCATTTATATCGTTGAATTATCTCACAGTGACGGCAATATCTGTAGTATTAAAAATCTGAATGAAATTCAAGTCGAATATTTCTAGATATTCAACAAAGTAGTGTGTCCATTTCCTTTCCACTGGAAATAAAAATTAGGAACAGTATAGTAACGAATTATTAAAAACAAACAATGCTTTTCATTAAATCCCTATTTTGAATGCATTAAACGGTTAATTACACACTTTTAATTTTTTCAGACTTGAATGTTGCCGTAACGAACTCAAACCTCCATGCTGGTCGGTACTGATCATTGGACAGTGACTTGAAATATGCGTCCATGATTTCTTTATCACATTTTTTGTTTCGTATTCAACTTCACAAATACGCACCTTTCAATCCCGATTTGATTTTATAAGTTGTTCAAAGCCGTACCAAGGTGAGTTAAAACTTCAGTCAATCTATCAAGGAGTGCATTTATAAGCGCATATCATTTAATGCACTCAGATATTATCAGTTGTGTTTAATTGAATGAATAATTTTGAAATGAAATATATCTTAAATATGGGACATCTATGGCGGGTTTTGATATTATTAGTAAGCCTTCGTGAAATAAGTATGTAACACTTTTTTCAATTCATTTTTTGTTACTTTTGCCGTTTAAAATGGGAATCATTGTCCTAGTACTGAACTGTATAACACTTTAACCGATAACTAAAAAATTTAATGTTTTATATTAAACTTTACTCCGCCATATATCTTAAATTGACAAACAAATTGATAGTTTTCAGAGAATATTCTTGTCAAAACCGGCTGATTTTGGTGTTCAGTAGTCTCATGGGTAAACTATTTTGCCGCTAGCAGCAAAACACGCACGCCCGTGTAAACTTCTTATTATTAAAGGAATTATTTATTTGTTGCTCGCATGGTTTAAGATGTAACTGAAACTAACGAAATGTACCGAACATCAAAACAGACTTGTGATTAAACTTTATTTATTTCTTTAAATACTTTACACTGATTTTTTTCCAAACAGGTTATGCTATTCGGTGCTTTGAATGTCAGAATGTTAACTTTCCACGGAACTGCACACATGTCCCTGAGTGTAACGCTGACGAGCATAAATTTTCACCAAATTCTATCAAATGTTCATGTATTACAATGTTATGTGTTTTTTACCAAGTACATTTGAATTTTATAACAATATACATATGAATAGTGTTTAGTTCAATTTTGTGCCTATATTTCAGCATTGTTTGACAGAACAAATATTGACAAACAGTGGACATATAATGTACACCACGGGCTGCCTTCTTAAATCGATTAAACTGACAAGTTACATTTTTACATAATACGTATTACATACGTATTACATAATTATAAAGGTCTTCAAGAAATCATTTTGAAGCTTCTACTTGAATTTATGTGAAAAAAAAACAACGAAACAAAACAACAACAAAACAACAACAAGAACAACAAAAACCCCAAACAAACAAAAACAGCAACAGCAAAAATCCCATACAAAACAAACAACAACAAAATAAAACAGAAACAAAAAACTCGATCAACTTCAAGGAATTGAAGTTTCACAATACATTTAACGAATTTAACGAGTTCACGACTTTAACTACATGTATACATGTATTTATTTATAACTCAAAAGTACCAATTTCACAAGAAATAATTAACGAATTCATAAGTTAGTAGAAGAACTTAAAGATATATTATCATGATTATGTTCAAATCTGATATTTGAAACATCTGATAATTACTATACAGTCTCTTTTGAAACGTTATATAAAATATATTTTTGGATACACATAGAGAAAATATGTTACCTTTTTGAAATCTACTACAGGTAATCTAAGTATGATTACAGTGTCATTAAACATTAAAAACTGGCAGTTTTTAAAAAAATAGACCAAATTAATTTGACAGGTAATTCCAAACCATAGTTTATACATTCAGTTATTCAAATTAGACATATTCAGCAAGAACTAGATTTCAAGAAATTTCTGCAAAATTGTATTTTATCCAAAGATGAGATATCTTAAACAATTTTGTATCATCAACATTGTAACATATTTCATATGCACTGCATATCTATTTTATTTATATTATATATTATGACTCTCCTCGCGAATTAACGATGTCATCTTTACGTGTGGTCATATATCATTGTATATGATGGGTTCAAACATTATTATTTTGGTCATAACATTTCACACAAATAATTCCGTTGGTAAAATGTTGTATTTCAGCATTGTTCTTCGACTGGTATAACGCTTATTGGTAAAAGATCAGATGCCAAGCGTTCCTCTGATATCAAGCGTTCCTCTGATTTAACAGTCTGCATGGAGTGCTGCAAGGAGGATTTTTGCAACCACGTTGGTTGTGGTGTAAACGGTAGTTCTTTTATTGTTTTAATTATCTAGTTATGCTAGCTGTCATTGTCTCCGGGGAATGTTCTCTTTTCAGATATTTTACTTGCAACAACAAGTCTTACTTGCTATTTTGCTGCTAAAAGATAAATTTTGTACTTCTTCTTTTTCTAAATCATTGATGTAAATAACTTTGATGTGAATGGTGCTGCACCTTTCATCATCTCTAATGACCAGATTCATTGAAACCAAGTCTGCAATTTTCTATCATGCATTTTGTTTTATTTGCATTTCTCTCGAAGTATCCCTTCTATTTAAATTTTACATTTATCTATTTTAGTAGTCACATATTACATTTTCCGCAGATCTTTTTCAGAAATCCCTTTAACACAACGAGGTCCCTTCTGTTTCAACTGTGAAAGTGGCGTCGATGACAATGCCTGTAACAATGTCACCGTCTGTAATAAAGGCGAGGTATTTCATTGTTGTTTTTTTTACCTTATTTGTTGGCATGTTGATAAATAATGATATGCAGAAAAAACTCTAACTAAGAACACCCCGCACTTAAGACCACTTCGCCGTTACGACTGATTTATAAAAGAACTGTGCCTTTTTCAATGATCAAGTGATTCACAATTAAGACCACCCCACTAATCCACTAGTAAGACCACCATTTTCAGTCTCATTCCTATGTTTAAAATTTATTTTTATTAATTGTCATATGAGTTACAATTAAGAGCAACCCACAAATTCACTATGAAGACTGATTTTAAGTCCCATTTAATTTTTATGCTCCTCGAAGGGTGTGCATTTAATCGCCGTTTTGTCCATCCATCCGTCTTAATAAATCGACACGCCCTTGTCAGCCGGAAAAAAACGTTCATACGTCATTTATCTTCATGGCAATCAGAACCAACAATAGAGAAGGAAGCAAATGAAATCATTCGGGAAGAAAGACATTTTATTCATTTTACATATAACATCCGTCATAATTTACATATCCATTATACATAATTCCTATCTATACAAATATATAAACGCTAATAATAAACAACGAAATTTCGTTGGGATTTGCAATGTCTGTAAATCATATCTTAAAATTACAGATTATAAAGCGCTAAAATGTTTGTTTTTTTATGTTATTATACTTAAAAGATGACTTGTACATCATTTATTCGTTGCAAGCTTCTCTTCAACGGGAATTTAAAATTCATATACTTGCGTACATTGATATACTTGAGATATCTATATCTTTATAATCTTATAAATATACCTTTATAGGTACTGCGTTTATAGATTAAGGTATATACATTTAACATAAGTGATAAATATTACAGTATGGAATCTTCAATTATTTTATGTAAATAACAGAACACGCTTTAAACATATGTATAACTGATAATCACATCTTCATATATATTTTTAACAAGATGACATCATTTAATATCACTGTGATATTACCATTATGCATTTCCTTTTATTTTACACGATATAATATGAAACCAATGATCTCACAGTGTTTGCCTTATATAAACTTCAATTATAAACCATTATTTGATACAATGTTATCAATTTAAGCTTATTTCATTATATTGAGTCAATATGTGTATCATATTTGTTGTATTTGTCATTTGATGCTGAATGGTCGAGGACATCTCTACTAACATCTTACAATATCATTATAACTTTATAATTATACATTGTAAACACTGACAATTACTGACAAGAAACGGTAATATGAAATACATGTATGGAAGGAATATCAACAATGTAGGGTCAAATCATAAATAGACTTTATAGAAATGTCTTAACATATTCATATACATGTATAATTAAGTCTGGAACATCCTGAATAATACAATTTGACTACTTTCCATTCTTTCTCAAAATCAAAGAATGAGTTTCATTTAAAAGCTGTTTTTCTCTATAGATTGTAATGAGAAGAAAAAAAAACATTCAAAGAAAGGAGAGCAATGTCAATCGCTTATAAAAAGGATTCTTCATAACTCTTAATACGGGTTTTAACCCTTAATATTATTATTATCTCAGAAAATTGTGAATGGGCAAACACATATAACGCTCATTTTACAAAAAAAATTTCCGAAATGTATTAATATGTCAGTAATAAGTAATAATATCCGATTTATGTACAAAATATCAAAAGAAACATACCCCTATACATGTACGATGCTAGCCATGTTAAAAATGCTTTGTTAGTGTATACATTCAAACGCCTTTCAATATTAACATAACTAAAACCCTTTCTCAAAGACTTTCTTAGTTCAAAAAATCTGACTCTAAAAAGTGAGTTTAATAAAATTAAGGTATGTTCATAAACAAGTATAGATAAAAATAATCAGTGTTAAATATGCGGTTGTCACATGTTTAAGATAATAACGACTTGAATAAAGCATTGTGAAACTAATAATAACACTGTTAATTTACCAAATAGATAAGAAGCAGCCTATTTCGATTCTAATATTCGTAGAGTAAAAATGATGATTTGAAAGAATATTTTAAACATGAAATATAGCTTAACTTTTATTAACATTTTTATTCAGTATCTGTAGTACTGTCCGATAACGATTCGTATCCAGAGTTTGGAACAACAAGTCTACAATGTTCGTCACTGGAGTGTCTTGAATGTACTTCCATTTTGTTTCTTATGTATTCCGTTATCGTCATTAAAACTTTTTGTTTCATTTTCCTTTGAGCCATATCTTTGTGCTTATTAAAGCACATCATTTTTACAATTTTCGGTAATGCACATACAAATAAAACAGTAAACACGTGCGTCACGAGGGATAGCTCTTTCAACTTGTCAAATGTCACGAGTAACTGAACAGATATTATCAACACAAATATCACCGATGTCAGTTTTAACATCGTAATCAATAATTGATTTCTTCTTGGCAAATTTCTGCGGATGATCAAATAAAAAAGGTCGCTCTTAATGCCATATTTAGTTTGTATGCTTTTAAGTTTGTTTTGATCCATTTCATCATCATCACCATACTTCTGTTGAATTATTTCGCAAGCTTTTAAGCTCAACTTTAAAAGTTCCCTATAACTCTCTCCAAATGCATTGATACTCTCTGCCACATAAAACAAAGTCATAAAGACAAGAACAAGATATCCATAAGATAATTGTGGATACGCAACGATGCCACTGTACGTTAACATGACAATTCTACACAAAAACCAAAACCCATCAAAGAATATCAAACAATACGTATACCAGGAAATTGAAAATAAGATCAGCATGGGTATGAAGAAAATATGTTTACAACATTTCACTACAAAACCTCTATGATGGAAACACTCATAATAGTGAATACAAAAAGAATTCAAAACAATGAAAAAACAGTTGACTACTGGAAAGAGATAATAAAGAACGGCTAGCAATAACTCAGTGACACAGAACATGATGTATAAAGGCAACAGGAGGGCACTTAACATAATGGCAATAAACAAGTTTTGCAACTTGTTGTGCAACATTAAAAAGATGATATTTTTCCACCTTAAATAGAATAACTTTACTGACTGCTTCCAAAACCGTGAATGAATTAACATAAATATCTGGGCTAGAAGGAGTCGGTGCAGTTTTTTGCATCCTTTTAGATGCCTGACATTTATTCCTGACAAATTTTCTTTAAGCTTAATTGGCATTCTGGTCAAAAATACAAATTTCTTGACGCTTTTTGTGATGCCAATAGCAAGAAAATCTTCTAAATTTGAGGGAAATACAATCAAAAGACACCCAAATAAAATATAGATTGAGAAAGTAACAACAGGACCACCAAATACATACAGAAAATGTTTCCTTGCTTCGCTTACCCCAGCTAAGAGTGCACTGTATCCTACGAGGGCTCCTTTTTGTACCGCAGATTTGGTAAACTCATAGGCATATATATAATCTAATATAACATGTGCTGCGGTTAAACACATTGGGAGAATTATTATCCAAATTCTAAGGGTACGTGAGCCTTTTGCACCACCGTAAACGAAGCTCAAAAATGGTATGAATAATATTGAAAATACTGATACCGGATTAGATGATTTCAATTGAACATAATTTGATTTTCTTAATTCACTGCTTTCAGAAAAAGAGTCGTCGATCGTTTCATTGACTAAACTCGTTGAAATATGTCTTTCCTTCTTCACTGTTTTTGAAAGTTTCATAAATTTTAGTCCTATGTGTGTCAACAGCAAAGGATAGAAGGCAAAACAAACATTCCCTGCTATAATGGGTAGGATCCACCAGAGTGCTCCATAATGATACTGTTCCTTGTGACACTGAATTATACGGGTCTTTTTTATATAATCAAAAGTAAATTTGCAGCATTCGTACTCAATTGTTTGAAATGTGCATATTGAGTTTCTGCACAATTCATACAGAAAGCTAGAGCGTATCCATGTACGTTTATTGTAACACCAAAGGCTAGAGTTATATATTTCATATTGTGAAGCTATTTCTGACGTCATGTTGCCCAATGCCTGTCCGATAAGATAGTCAGTGTCTTTATTGCCAATTGTGAGGTTCTTACATTCTCCAGACTTTTCAATATCAACAGAAATGCTTTCTTTCAATGTATGCGCCCAAAGTAAACCGAACGACATGTAACCAAAGTCTTGTGGTATGTAGAGATATTGATGTGCTCCCCCTTCTCCTTCGTATGTCCAAATCCAATTACTTTTTGCAAAAACTGTTCGTCTAGCATTAACACTAAAATTCACAAAATTTAGTTTGAAATAAACGAAATTGTACTGGTGTTTCAGAATATTGTATGTAAACACAACCTGGGATACGTTATTTACCGTTAAACTACATCCTTTGTTTTTATTAATAAAACTCTCATACAAATTTGTGTCGTTTGAAACATAGCGCCCAGTGTCGTTTATGGTCGTTTTCCCAATACTTTGATCAATCATTGATGGCAAAAGTGATTGCGTTTCAACCATATCGCTCAATGCAAGAACGACTATAACGAAAAGAATGTCTATTTTGCGCGACTTCTTTCTCATCTTAATGAAATTTTAAAAGCTTTGAAGTTTGCTGCCTGGAAGGAAAATTGAAAATCTTTTTGAGCTGTTTGGGATATATAAGGATATACATTTAATACATTTAGAAAAACAACACGTATTATGTGGCTTTTTCTTGCTTCTGTTGTTTGTGCAACCATTCCCTGTTTAAGTGTAGAGCTGCTTTACTAAATTAGTTCAAATGTCTAAAGATATACCACATCCATATTTGAATAAGATACATTTATGTGAGTATTTGTTGTAATAATAGAAAGTCTTATTGGAAATGCAAATGTTTTATTTCGGAAGCTACGTTCCCTATTAATATGTTATTTTAATTTGCTTTTTTCACTAAAACATTCTGCCACTTTTTCAATGAATTATTCATACTGTGGTTATAGTGTTCAGTTTAAAATAATACTAAATTTTGCATTTCTGTGATTCTGTGAGAACAAATCAAAAGCTGTTAATTTTACAACAGTCTGTGTATCAATAAGCAGTTATTTGTTAAAATATAAAATTTCAGCATAATATATCTTAAAGTAAAAGCAACATTATGACCGGCGTAAAACTGATTACAATGATTTAGAAAAAAAGAATTATATGCAACAATGTAAACTCCCATTTACAATTTTATTTAAAATGCGCTTACCTTTTTTAGTTAAATCCTATCTTTTGAGAACGTCTTATCAAAAGTGTCAGTTGTTTACAATATACTGGTCAAGTAATACTTCCTTTTATATACAACATGCAGTGGAGGCCTAAATGGTAGACGATTCGTTAAAATAAACAATAAAAATAAAAAAGATAGCTTGAAAGGAAGTTATCTGTTTTTTTAAAGAGATCTCACGCTTTCAATTTATGGCTTTGTTCTTCCGGATTGACAATAACATGAAACCAAATTGTGTCTCCTAAATCATTTTCACAGAATACCGTGTCAGATTAAAGCTCTTTTTTATATTTAATTTCATGATGAAAAGAGCAATATCAAATAACGAAACTGAATACATAACAGCGAGAGACATTGTTAAGATCATAAATCTAATACTTAACGGTTTCGATTTGAAATTGAACATGCACATTCAATATTTTTTATGATGTTACCTTAAAATAAGACATGTATCCTGACAAGTGTGATCAGGTCTAGAAATTACATTACACGCAAATAGATTGTCTATGCAAATGTACAGTTACAGGTGTCCTCTTATTTAATGTTTCTTTATATCTTTATTTATTTTCAATAAAGAAATAATACCTATATTGTAATTGTTGATTTGGCTCGCTTAGTAATGCCTATACTTCATATGATGCAGAAACGATATCATTGATAGCCATTAATTGCTCACGTGAGTAAATGGTTAAGATGATCACGAGTGCTTTATTATGACATTGGTAGAAACATCAATTTTACAAATTAAAGTGTACTCGGTTTTATAAAGAATAAAGTTGTTGTAGTGAAAAGATCTCGTTTCAAGACTTTTTTCTATTTTTCAGCTATGGAGGCCATCTTGTTTAGCAGACCGGACCAATTTAAACAGTTTAAGTTAAGGACTTTCCAATTATCATTTCTGCAGAACTTCATTAAAATCTATTGGGCGGTTAAAGAGAAGATTTCATTTAACAACCCTTTTTATTTTTAGCACTGGCGGCCAGCTTGTTCAACAGACCAGATACATTTGAGCAATTTTTGGATTGATTTTTCAAATTAATAAAATTATAATGTAAGACATCATACAAAGCAATGTTTGCCCCGTTACAGTGTAACCGCAAGGTCACGCACCTTTCAGATACATATTTAAAATAACTTATATCATTAATTCTTTGTTATCTAAAAATGAATTGCCTAAAAAGGTATTTAAATGAATAAGAAATATATTTTTCATGAGTTGGATATAAATGCATTATTTCAATGAACTTGATGTGAAAGAAGAAATTATTATACGAAATGCGATTATAAGTAATTTTATGTTTTTAAAAGATCCTTATATGGCACTGAATCCACATGCAAAATCATATTTCTAATACCAATTACCAGTACAGTATTTATTTACCGACAATAAACGGGATCAGTATTTTTCAACGGTGTATGAAGTAAAAAAAGAGTTTTGTTTTTGCTCCATACTTTCCGTCTTCGTTATTTTTTCATATAACATTTGTGTTTAGATGCATTTAAATTTAACGGGATTATAATGTCGATGTATCAATGCTCATGCTCTTATCATAGTGTTTGTGACCGCCGACATTGAATGTATGACGATGAATTTGTAATATGTTTATATACTAATAAAATCATTAAAATGAATGTAACGTATAGCAATTCCTTTTCCAATCAGAAAACCCCATTAAAATGAAAAGCAGCTACTGTTTTTTTAGCACACCAACAACAATTTGGTGATTGGCAGGATGTTTTTCACATGTGTTACGTACCTATAATGAAATTACCAATGACACGTCACTGAGGTATAATTGGCACGTGCATTCACACCATTCGGGTAATAGGAATAGGAGGAACATGTAATGACTTAAATATATTGAATAGTTTCATAACTTGTTCATAAATATTGTTAATATAAGTACAATTCTACATATCATAATGTACATTGTCGTTCTTAAATATAGAAATGTAATTCTCGAAATACGTTTAATCGAAAATACGAAGATTGTTTTCAAATTATAACCATATATTGATTTATAAGTATTTTGGTTTTTTAATTCATAATGCAAATTCCATAAAATGAAGGTATCGCAACTTCGAACTACAGACAAGTCAATTCAATATATAACATAAATTAAGTAGACTTGTACAATTATTCACCGCCAATATAACATACATAAAAAGTAACTAAATCATTATGAACTTGTAGAAATTGTAGATATGAATGAACACACAATGCACAAATTGTATACAGTCATGATGTTCATGCAGATAATGGAAAAGACAGTATGGCTCTTGTCATAGTCAGATGGCTACTGAAAAAAATCAAGTACAAGTACAAAGTGGCCGAAAAAATGGGAAATTCCTATATATATTTCTTTATTTAAATTGCCTGTTGATTATAAAATTATATTTATAAGCCTAAGTAGCGGCTAAAGCAATGTTTATTCTTTATAAATAAATGTAACAGTGTTAAAAGATCAGCGCTTTAACGACCCCCAACAAACAACCTAGTTTGTATAGATTCTTTTTGATCCAGGAATTATTTGATTCGTCTTTCTACTTAAATTTCATTATCAACTACTTTTGTTACTTAATTCATTTAATATCTTCTCATTAAAAGGTTAACTACATTGATTCAAATCACGCAGTGACAAGTAAACTCTATGATACTCTATGTTATAAAAATCTGTTCTTTAACTTCGATCTTCATCTATTAACTAGTGAATATATCATAATGGCCGACACCGATGCAAGTTAATAGTTGTTCTCATAGCTTAATCGATTTAAGGCTATAAATAGAAAGAACACCCGTTACACCAGTTATCAATCAAGTGTCAATGTTGTAAAATAATACATGATACTCTAGTTACGGAAGTCATCCATTTTGTTGATGTACAAGGTTTATAAACAAGGTACAAGATCTGTTTTGCTTGACAATAATCAGTCACGTGTAAAATAAAACCGCTACATTTGTTTATCTAAAGCAATGGAATTTTTTCAGAAAGCAGTAAGTGTAAGTTTTTATGTGGGTTAAAAAAGTTCAGTCGTATTGATTTTAACCTTGAATATTTCAATAAAGTAAAGGTTTAGGTTTTCTATATCGACATTGTGGGTGGGTGATAAGTGTTATTTTTTTATCTATTTTTGCATATTTCGGAAAAGTATTTACTGATGTTAGAAAATAAACAAGAAAAACGAAATATCGCGATTTATGTTATATAACGTCCTTTTTAATTTATGTATTGTCCTTTTTCTAAATATTGTTGTTATTAAATTAATCGTCTAAAATTTATTGTTACTGCATACCAAAAAATCCTCCGACATAAGCATGAATATGTTTTATTAACTGATGTATAAATTGTACTACAAAAGAAATATGAAGAAAGGTGAATGTAAAATAAAGCAATTGACAGTAAGCTTCCAATTTCAAATTTTTTAACACTCGTCACAGTTAAATGGAATTGACTTCTTTAACATGTTTATATTTATGCAACATATTTTTTTATTTAACATAGCATCTACGGTATATTTTTTATTTGAAAATATAAAAACAAGTATAGGGTTAAGCTACAAAAATGAGGACAATTATTGACAAAAATAGGTATGATAACTGTAATTAAACAAATGTTTTCTTCAACATCATTCAATCTTTCTCTACATGGTCAAATCTGACTGCTAACTATTTTGTATACATTAATTCGTAATTGTCCTGTAAAAATGTAACTGTTTCATTTTAAGATGAGTTTCCTTGAATTCAGGAAATTTTTTTTATACTTTTTTAATACATTAAAGAAATCAAATTGAATGTTTACTTTAACAAAACAAATAGCCATGATAGATAATTTGATATGGTATATGTAGACTTCATCGCCTAAACAGAACTATGATTGTTTATCTTACACAATTCAGCGATATGTGACATGCAAAATTAAATATGTAATGAGTTTAAAGTCATTTATCGTATGTTTAATACATGTAATTCTTTTTACCAACAGTCTTTTATATCTATATTTGTAAATATGATAAAAATGTTGCAATGTATGTTAAATATATTAGTGCTGTAAATGACTTAATTTATGTTGTTGTTTCTAAATTGTTATAGATTAATCACGACGAAGATGATACAATCATTGAATTAAATGTTGGAGGCAAGATATTCAGCACACTCAAAAGCACACTTTCGAGGGAAAATGATAGTCTCCTAGCCGAAATGATCAATGGAAAAATTACAACAAAAGTTGACAACTCTGGCAGATATTTTATTGATTGCAATCCAGACATCTTTTGCCATATTCTTGAATATCTAAGATTTGGAAAATATCCTCTTCCTGAAAAAGTCATCGATGTTTATGATTACGCAAGGATGTTTCGTCTTGGAAAATTTATGGCATCATTGGAACAATTCAAAGATGTGCAATATAAACTTCAAGGTGACCACTCTAAGAGTTCCTTGGACGATGGAAAATACAAACAGTTGTTACAAGATATTGTAGGAAAGCTGTCCATCTTAAATGAATATGCAAATCCAAGAAGATATATTTGTTTAGTAACTGTTTTCAACATCTCTCAAAATCTTCCAGAATGTGAATGTTCCGATAAATCTTTTGGATGCATAGAAGGGAGAGAAATTATAGCTGAAGCTAGTAAACCTCCCATAAAAACAGAATTACAAAGCACAGATGTTAATTTGATTCGTGCTTTAGCAGCGGACTTGAAATCGTTTGGGTACGGCAGGTTAAAGTACACCACACTTTTTACACGTTGTTCTGCTTGTGCAGGACATCACATAGCAATTATTCTAAATAGTAAGAATACAGACAAATATTTGGAACATTTACCTTCGAACTGGATATCCATTTAAAATTTTGAAGCAGAAGATTTTAAGAATCACTGTTTAAGAACTGTTCATGTAAGATAATATTTAAAACTCATTTGAATTCTATTAAAGATGAGCTTTTCTTATAAGTAAAATAGTTTTGATTACAGCAACTTATTGAAGTCTATGACAAACTATGTTTTCGAAGATGATATCCCAATAACTGGTCAAGTGACTTGTGTCCTTTATAGGAAAAACTGCCAGCCTTTTATATTACACTATGTATTTGTACCGTCGTTTCACGAAGTGTATAGGATTTTAAACGTTATATAACATCTCTGTGTGTACTTAAATGAGATGTATTTCATTAAACACAGCTGTTTAGCAATAAAAGGTATTTCCAAATATCAAATATGAGTATGATAATTATATCTTTATCGAATGGATTTTCTGTATAAAAAGATGCATAAAAATATACAAACTCCAATAGAAAATAACTTTTATAATTCGATTACTTTTTATTTCTCCAACACGAGGTGTTTCGCATCCAAAAACTAATAATGCTTTTAATTGTTTGTTTTAATTGTAGAATATTCATCTTTTTCTTAATTTGCGATGCCATGATTGAACTTTTTAAATATAGCAGATATACCAGTAAGGTTGTCAAAAAAAATAGTGTCCTTCATCTCAAAATGAACTAATTTCCCCCGCAGCTATTTGGTTCCATTACATATCCTAAAGTTAAAAAACAACCAGAATTCATAAAGATAAAATCACTTCTAATCACTTCAAATCACTTGCCCCTCCCCACTGTAGGTTTGAGTCCCACAGGAGACTTTGAATTTTTGCATGTGGGGTAGCTAATTATCAGGTGCCAATATTAATGTATGGAGGGGTACCAAGGTCTTCCTCAACCAGTAAAGTAAGAGGGTCGTCGCATGACCATTATAGTTCCGATGTGACATAAAATAACTAGTCATTTTCTGCTTAATGACTTCATAACAAGTTCAAACAAATATCAATGTCATTATTAATTGTATTTAAAATAAAATAAGGCTACCGAAAAGAGAAGTGAAAATTAAATGATTTTGATGATTGTTAGATATTAAGTCTTTTTAATGAGTTTTCGTTGTAACCACACATTTCCTTTTCACTTCAATTCAACAGCCTAGAATATAGATTTTATAAACTATAATCATATTATGTTATGAACGAGTATTGGTTCTGACCAAATCTTAGATTATTCAAAAACTTCAGTTAGTAGTGGTATGATAATAACTTCTAATTAGACAATTTTGAAAAAAAAAGTTAAAATAAGGGCATGATTCCTTAAATATTGCATTCAGAATTATGATCCTTGTCTAGTCATAAATATGTAGTGAAAGTATTAACACGAAGCCGATACGGCCGACGCAGCGATAAAAATAGCTTGACTTTTCTTCCAAATTAGTTAAAAATATAAACAATGATATTTTGATATATTTATGAATATACAAGACAGCAATGAAGAAAAAATCAGCGATATTATGATTATCTGAACAATGATAAGAAATCTGATGATTCGACATTTCCTTTGTTTTTTAATATAAACAAATATTAACAGATACTCGTATGAAAACCTTAGACTAGTGTAATTTAAATTATTACATTTTCTATTAATTCTTTATAGTTATTAACAGCTACAGAGTTTCTCTAATTATGGAAGAAAGAAGCTTTTGCTCAAGTCATGTTGTTTTGATGATGACATAAAACATGATGATCAAATTATTGAAAACAACACATACAACAAATGGACATAAAATATTAAATTAAGTATGATCTTAACCTTTAAATGACCTTGACCATGAGTGTCAAATTACCGATTCTGTGATTAAACTTGTCATTACTTTGATACTTATTTACCCATTTGATAATTTTTTTGACAAATGAAAATTTACCACAAAACCGACTTACATCTGACGGACCAAGTGGGAGACTCTATGATGGACAGTTCCTTTGGGACTGAATTGCCTTACTGTTCGTCTTCTGTTTTGCTTCGTCGGGCCCTTGTAGGTGATCTTTTTGTTGCTCTGTCTTCCTTTAAGACATTGAGTACTTTTGTTTATGGTCATTGGGTTTTCTTTTGTATGTTTCTACATGAGCATTTCGATGTTTTACTTATTTCACATTTTGTAACCATGACAACTGTTAGAATTTCACTTGGCGGGGATTCATTTTATTTACACTGTCTCGTTTATTGGAACATGGCGGGGCTAAGAGTGAGGTTTGGTGCACCATTAACCGGTTGAAACTCCCCAGCAGTATTTATGTTGCTGACCGTTCCAAGGCCGTGCCCCTCTGTGTTCCTCAGATGTATGTCTTTGTTGTTTCATACTGTTTTGGTGACACTTTTTGTATCCTTTGTTGTTTTTTCGTCTGGGTGAGTATCTTCCCATTGCCCCTAGTTTTTATTTCCATTTACTTACCCCCCCCGTCCCCATGTTTCCTTCCCCCTTCCCCTGTGCCTTTGACTTTATGGGCCTATTACTCAATCATTTAATTGTTTTCGTCGAGTTCCTTATTATTGACTAATTATTTCTTCTTATGTACAATTTTAGTGATTAATCTGCCCATGCTTTGCCCTGCCCTGTTTTTGTTTGGGGTCCTCCTGGACGCCTTGCCAAAGGCTCTTGTTACTGGATCGTGTGGGGGTTGCGTGCGTTGAACGACGCCTTTCCTTGTTGATTTTGTTTATCATATTTTGTTACTTATAAGTTATTTCCTCATTTTTTAATGATCTTCAAGGTACTGACATGGCTTTGTTATTTCTTTGTTGATTTGATTTAAATTTTAAATTGGACTCATAAAAGTAATACTTATGACACAACCAGCATGATACATAATAAATTTTGAATAGGCCTTGACATTAGAATGACATTTATTATTATTGTAACATTTTTGAATTTTCAAACTTGGTATCACTATTTTATTACATTTAATCTTATATAAGCCTTATATTTTGTACAAAGTTTCACAAATTGTATTTTTAAATAAATAACAGATAATCAACGAAACAGAAATCATTACTTTACAAGTTATTCACTTATATTCATGGGCATAAATTTAGTGGTTTTATCAAAACGGGCCTTCCCGTGGGTTCTTAAATTCGTGGATTTTTAATTTCTTGTAAAAAAAATAAAATAAATAACTTAATGCAAAGTTATCTTATATTTAATCGCCGCGCATTTTACTTACCGCATGCACATATCTTTACGTGTCATACAGCGCTTGTAAATAAAGGGCTAGGTTCAGCAAGAGTGAGAAATTGCGCTTTGTCAGAAATTAATTACAATTTCAGTAAAAGTTCATATTTTTTGTGCTTTATCAGAAACAAGAACACACTTGGCGATTATTTTATTTATTTTGTTACCATAGCAAAAATGTTTTAGTCTCATATTGTTTTTTTTTTTATTCTCAAATACGCAAACATATTTTCCTCCAGCTTTTGTAAGGTTGGTGTTGATATTAAAACACTACATGAATTCATAAACGAAAATTTCCATGGTAACTCAAACAATTTCATATCTTTTGACACTGCAAAACAGCGAGATTTACCGAATTGCTTACATTATTGCAATCTGGACTATTGTTAAGTTTATCAAATGAATAAACTGTAAGCTTTTAGTACAATGGTAGATTTTACATATTTTTTGCACAATATGGAATGTGAATGTTTCGATGGTCACAATGCTGCTATGGAAACAAGAGCCAGTTTTATAAGCTTGACATATTTTCGAAGAAAAGAGGTATTATGACACTCATGGCGGCGGTAAACCTTGATCATACCTTTTTAAAATTTAAGTTTATTGTCTTCATACTTGGCGACAACAATCTTCGGAACAAGGCTAGACTAAACTCGACCTCCATGTATATAAATGGCCTTGACCTTCAAGGTCAAATATCTAAATTTTGCTTATTTTTTTGTTGATTTATGCTATAAGTGGCTATTCCTTTGTTAATTTTACATGAATTATCTTCTATCTTAAACAAAACAATCTTTTAGTATAGAATTGCAAGCTAACAAGACAAGACATTGACCTTCACTCATAAATGACCTTGATCTTGCAGGTCAAATTATTTGAAATGTCTTTTTTCTGTATCTGGCTATAACTTTGTTATTCATGGATTAACTTCATATTTAGACATAACATCTTTTAGGTCAGGACCTTCATGGATATCAAACTCAAATTGACTCTGACTCATTTATGACCTTGACCTTGAAGGTCAAATTATAGAATGTTCACTTCTTATATATACTGCTATAATTGCCGGTAACTTGGTTATTAATCAATCGATTATCTTCATATTTGGACAAATCCTTCTTAATGGCTGAACCGCCTTGACCTTGAAATTTACATGACCATGACTGCCAAGGTCATACAATTGAATTATGGTTAAGTTGTCATAATTTTATTATTTATCTACAGATTTGTGTCATGCATGCATGGACAAAACAACATTTGTCACCAAACGTGACCGTCATATGATTGAACTTTTCTTATATTTTCTTAACTTTGTCATTTTATTAATGGAAATCATTCATACTTGAACAAAACAACAAGTTTTACTAGACAGATCTATCCATTTTTGAAAAAAGGAACAACAATTTTTTATTTATTTTTCTCTTTAAAGATTTGTTTAAACCATTTAATTGTCCTCTTCTAAAAAAAGTATAAACGTCAAGCGTTGTTCCCGCTAGCGCTTGTTTCACAAAATACAAGTTTAATGTAAATACTTTCAGAAGTTTTCCTTCTTGGTTTAGCTAGGACACGTAAATTCAGTTCTACGATTTGAAAATAATTGAGAAAAATATGAAAAAATTCAAAAGAAAGAAGTTACAACATTTTTGAGAGTTGACAATTTAAGTATCTAAGAAACTATGTTAACCAGAAACAGAATAATCCATTAAGTATAAGATAGATAAATAAACCATTTTTATGTCAACTCCAATGAATTATCCAGTAAAAATAATATTCATTATACTGCACTTTTATACAGTTTTACAATATAAAATAAATATCATCAGAACAATATATAACATAATTATGAATATATATCACACCGCATAATTAAAAGTTGTCATACATGTTTTTGTTCTGAAAGACAAACAATTTTATATCACTGTTTAGTCTTAAATCTCCCACTTTCTTCGTATGAGGAGGCCTTTGTATAAAAATTTCTGACAGTCTATATATTAGACATGACTAGTTTATCTGCATTGTAACTATGTCTGAAATAGCATGATACCCTACTTTTCTTCACAAATATTCTGACTGACTCATAACAAGGCTACATATAAATGAAAGAATAAATTAAATTTGTTATAATACCCGTTACCGAAAAGAAATTCCTATAAGTTAGCTTCAACCACTTTTTAATGTGAATTAAATTGTATCACTGCGCAT